CTTCCTTTGGGAAGTTCCACAAGCTCATAAGTATTGTTCTTGTGCAGGGAGTTCATTTCTTCTCGCATGGCTTTCATCCAGCAGTCTTTGTCTTGGTGAGATTGCACCTCCTGGAAGTTCTCTGGCTCCCCCTCTTCAGTGATCAAGATGTAATCAGAACTGGGGTATCTTGCAGATGGTTTGTGCTCTCTAGTGGACCTTCTCAACTGAGGTTCTTCCTCCTGTGGCAGGGGTTGCTCCCCCTGCTCATCATTTCCCCCATCTACACTTGCTTCATCTTCTTCAATTGTTGGCACCTTTGTCTCATCTTCTGGTGCTTGCACCTCTTCTTCATCTATAATTTTTCTTGAAGGAGTTTTTGCCGGTGTTAAATCTTCTACACCCTCTCCAGAGCTTCCTGTAGCTTTGTCCTCCTTCAAATCATTAATTTTCTCGTGTTCATGAAACACGACATCTCTACTTCTGACAGTTTTCTTCTTTTCTGGGTCCCATAGTCTATAGCCAAACTCCTCATCACCATATCCAACAAAAATGCATTGAATGGCTTTATCATCCAGCTTTGATCTCTGTTCCTTTGGCACGTGCATAAATGCTTTGCACCCGAACACTCTCAAGTGAGAGTATCCAACGTCCTTTCCCGTCCAAGCTTTCTCTGGGATTTCAAAATTCAAAGGAACTGAAGGTGACCGGTTGATCAAATAAACTACTATGTTGACTGCTTCACCCCAGAATGGCTTAGGTAGAATTGCCATTTTTAGCATGCATCGAACTTTCTCCACAATGGTACGGTTCATCTGTTCTGCAACACCGTTGTGTTGTGGTGTGCGAGGAACTGTCTTCTCATGCCTCATGCCATGCTTGGAACAATAGTCTCTAAATTCTTTGGAGGTGTACTCCCCTCCATTATCTGTACGGAGACATTTCAACTTCAACCCTATCTCCCTTTCCACCATAGCATGGTAATGCTGGAAATACTTGAAAACTTGGCTTTTATTCTGCAAAAAGTATACCCAAGTCTTCCGAGTTGCATCATCAATAAAGGTAACAAAATATTTATTACCACCAAACGACTCTACCTCCAGGGGACCACAAACGTCAGAGTAGACCAAGTCTAGCTTATTCTCCTTCCGAGTCCAATTCTTCTGAAAAGAAACTCGATGTTGCTTTCCAAATAGGCAAACATCACAAGGATTCACATGTCCACCTTTGGCAATGGGAACAAGGGACTGCTTAGCCAAAAGTTGCAACCTTTTTCACTCATGTGAGCTAATCTTTTATGCCATAAATTTGGAGAAGCCTCATCTTCAACTGTGTTCAGTTGACCTACACACATTTTCATGTGTGTCTTGTATAATGAGCAACATGCTCTCCCTTTTTCCACCACCAATGATCCTTTGGTGAGTTTCCAGTTGCCATTCCCGAAGTAGTGTGCGTATCCTTCTTCATCCAGTGCTTTTGCAGACAACAGGTTCATACGCATATCAGGAACATGTCGCACATTTTTTAGTGTCAATGTGCACCCAACATTTGTCTGGACACAGATATCACCAACTCCCATAACATGAGAAACACTCTTGTTTCCCATTTTTATGGTGCCAAAGTCTCCTGCTTTGTATGTTGAAAAATATTCCCTTTTGGGAACACAATGATAAGAGGCACCAGAATCAATTATCCACTCGGCATCCGAGTTTTCTACATGGCAGCACTCCCCACGATCACATAGTAGAGTCACGTCACCGCCATTGGTAGATGCTACAGCGGTTGTATTGCCATCTTCAACCTTTTTCTTGTCTTTTCCTTTCGACAAGTAGCAATTCCTTTTCATGTGGCATAGCTGGCCACAATGATAGCATTTCACTCCACTTTTGGACTTGGATCTAGATCTGCCTCCTCGTCCTCTAGGTTCTCTGGTTTTACTTCTGCCTCTATTCTCCATGACAAGAGCTTGAGTATCTGGTTGCGAGAAGACTCCTAGTGCACGCATCCTTTTTTCCTCTTCAAAGATCCTGTTTTTGGCAATTTCCAGTGTGACTTGACCACCAGGAGATGAGTTGATTGTTGTTGATCTAAAACTCTCCCATGATTCCGGCAAGGTATTGAGAAGAATCAGACCATTCACTTCATCATCAAAGTCTATGCCCAAATTGGCTAACTCCTTGATGATGCCAAGGAAATCATTAACATGGTCTGCTGTGGGAGTGCCATCTTTGTACCTTGAGTACATCAATTTCTTTATATGGCACAATTTATTTTGCCCAGTCTTTGCCTGGAAAAGCTGGTCTAGCTTTGTCCATAGTGTGCGTGCATTAGTTTCATCATTGATATGATTCAGCACACTATCATCAATCCATTGCCGGATAAATCCACACACTCGCCTATGGAGTAGCCTCCATTCTTCATCCTTCATGTTGTCTGGCTTTTGCTCTGAAAAGACAGGATCATGAAATTCCTTCACATAAAGAAGGTCTTCCATTTTCTCCTTCCACAGCTGATAGTTTGAACTATTCAGCGTGATCATTTTGCTCTGGTTCACCTCCATTGTTCACGTGAATATTAACAAAGCCTAGCTCTGATACCAGTTGTTGGAAAAATGGCTCAACGGAATAAATTAATTCCTGTTATCAAAACACGTGAACAATAACAAAGAACGGTGAAACAGGCGGCTTAGCCGACCAATATTAACGGTTAGTGAAAAAGGCGGCTTAACCGACCAAGCAAAATAAAATGG